TTAAATATCGAATATCTTAGAGTCATTATATTTTAACCACAGTAATCATTTTTTAAAATATCCTTATAGTGTCATTACTTTACTCCTTGAAACCTTTGAGTGTCTTTTCTGCCGCCTCTCAGATCAGGGCCCGCTCCCTAGCCTGGCCCCCAGAGCTATTCATACCCGCTCCCAGTCGGCGTCTCTGGCCTTCTCTCCTGCCCGGCTGTGCGCTTAGTGCACCGAGGGCACTCACCGAGCACTGGATGGGGGAGTGCGTGGTCCTAAAGCCTCAACCTTTTCTCTCCGAAGGGCGGTATGAAATTCTCCTCATGTAGGCGTGATATCTGAAAGTTTACTCCTCAGCCGTTTCTATCATTTTTAAATGACAATAATATAAAAATGAACCATCTATAAGCCGATTTAAGGACTTTTTAAAAAAAATGCATTAACCCAGTGTACTGGGGTGGGGGACCCAAAAAACCCAGAATTTATTTATAAAAAATTGAGTGTTTATTCTTACATGTTTAAACTTCATTGCCTTCAAAGCATTCTCCATTTCATGCCATACACCTACCCAGACTTTTTTTCATGCTCAATAAAGCTCTGCTCAAAACAGTTTTTGAACTTGCTGATTTTGATGCCTTTTAGTGCTTCTGTGATTTTTTGTTATTCCTCTTCCACATGGGCAAAATGTTTCCCTTTGAGGACTTTTTTCGTCCAGGAATACAACAAAATATGTGGCTCAGGGCCTGATCAGGTGACTAGGGAGGGTGGGGCACAGGTGTCATGCTGTTTTGGTCAAAAACTGCTGAACACTCAGTGAGCAGTGGGCAGGTGCACTGGTAAATCACCCATCACGAAATGGGCAAGTGGGTGGGAAGAGTCTTCAAACAAATTCATTGAACTAGAACACAGCCTCTCACAACAACGCCTGTTGTTGCACTGATACAGATGGGGTCCTGGAACACTAGTCTAGCGCGGGAATCCTGTCCTGGAAGGGGTCTGCCCTCCAGAAGAGAATCTAATTTTTTAGGGGGTTCCCCCCTCACATGTGCTGAATTGTGTCGTGTCCCCCCCCCCCCCCGCCCCCGCCAAATTCTTGTGTTGAAGACCTAATCCCTGGCACCTCAGACAGGGTTTTTTAAAAGGTCATTAAGTTGAGATAAAGTTATCGGGATGAGCCCTAACCCACTGTGACTAGTGCCCTTACGAGAAGAGGGGGCTTGAACAGACACACAGCAGGAAGACCACGTGAAGACACAGGAAGAAGATGGCCATCTTGAAGCCCAAGGGAGAGGCCTCGGAACAAACCAGCCCTGCTGGCCTCAGCTTCGTCTCAGACTTGTAGCCTCCAGCGAGCAAATGATTTCTGTTATTACAGCCACACTGTCTGTGGCTCCCTGACAGCCTTAGCAAACTAATACTCCTAGTGCCTTTTCACTCAACGAGGGTTTAGGCCCGTACCTAGGGGCTTTATCCTTAGGAAAGGGCTGGACCTAGGACCCACTAGATCCTCTCCTCCCATCTCAGAAGTTTTTGAGGTATTTTAAATTTGTCCTAGGAAAAGAGGGCCATCCTTCCCTTTTTTCAGACTAGGTAACACTCGCGATCAGCTCCCAACGAATGGCTTTTTCATTTCCCTTTTGGGGTTATGTATCTGTTTCTCTTGAAGATACAAACGAAACAAGAAACCATTAAAGTTACGGTTAATCCCCATTTACTGCATTGATTTAAAGACATAATGACTTAGAAATTTTCCAGGCTCTCGTTTTATTAGCCGGAGTACAGTGAGTTCTCTCTGCAATGGTAGCTGCGCCAACTGTAGCATCAGATTTCCAGAGGCGGTATGTGGTGCCATGAATTTATATGTTTTACAGCATACCTCTCTTGGGGTTCTGGCCCTGGGGGGAAGTACTTTGAGCGCTAAAATTTGGTTTATTCAGGTTTTCTCAGTCGTATTTCAGGTTCCATGTTGTCAACCTCAAATGCCTTACCCTCCACCCCTCCTCTCCCTCCTCCATCCAGACCCTCAGCAGTGGTTGTAGGGGAACTTGGAGGACTGTGTCGAGTGGGCTGGAGACTATGTTGGAAAAGAACATTTCCATCACTGACCACCTACCCAGATCAGCTATTCTCTGATCACCCTGGATTAAGTAATTTCAGACTCATTAGAGACCTTGAGAGGGTTCATTTGCACGCCTTCCTATAATATTACCATTAATATCTCAGGTGAGTGTGAGTTGATTTTATCTTATCAGTCCAGAAAAACACTGTACTTTCTTTCTAAGAACTAAGATTTATTTCCTGTATCTACCCTGAGCCCTTTGTGCTATGATCTTGAACTTGTTTCACCTTGTTCTATCTGGTGTAGGGTTAGAGGGTAGCTAGTCACCATGTATCATAGCTCTTATTCTTGAGACGTAAGGCATTATTAATTTGCCATTCTGCCTTCTCTTCTAAACTGAGCTCTGTTGGTTTTTTAGCCTCACAGGACTGATTTAAAAGTTTTAATAGTGTGTAAGACTTGTTAAAGCCTCTCCGCGGTTTTCATAACTCTCTCTGGCGGTGGACCCCGCGTTGGTTGAGTTTCATCAGTGTAGTGAGAGCACAACCAGGTCCTTCTCTCTGTGCTGTAAGTGTAAAGTTAGGCATCTGGTTTTATGCTTAATTTTCATTTTTGATTTAGCCAATTAAAATGCATAGCAATTAAGCAAAAGATTATATGATTTTTTTTTCTTTATGACAAAAGGTAATCGAGCAGATTTATTGCAGATAATCTTTGGACTTCACATGCGTCGGTACTCAGAATCGGAGAGATCAGAGATATATCTCTCCCGCTGACTAGAGTCAATACCAAGATTTTTTCTTTATAAGATTTTCTTTATTTTTAGGGAGAGGGGAAGGGAAGGAGAAAGAGAGGGAGAGATATTAATGTGTGGTTGCCTGTTGCACGCCCCCTACTGGTGACCTGGCCCGCAACCCAAGCATGTGCCCTGACTGGAATGGAACCCGCAACCTTTTGGTTCGCAGCCCTGCTCGATCCACTGAGCTACACTAGCCAGGGAAATACCAAGAATTTTTTATATCTATCTTAGAGTCTTAGCATTGCCTCTAACTGATTGGATAATAGTAGGTAAGTAATTTAACTTCTTTTTATGTCATTTTATTGATTTATGAAATTGGAGAAGGTAGATATCAATATTAGATGATCCCTGAGTTGTCTTCCAGTTCAGAAATTGTATTTTATACCCACCTAATAATTATTAACAGTTGATAAATTGTGGGTTTCAATGGATAAGTATATTTGGAGCAAATCAGATTAACTACTTTGAAATATATTGAGTACATATATATATTGAACACCACCTACTATGTGCTGGGTGCTGGCAACACAGCGATACATCAGACAGTTTTCAAAGAGTTTACATTTTATTAGGGAAAAGAAACGTAAGAGTAAGTGCAGTGGGATTTTACTGGGACTGTGGAAGAAATCCGGGGCATGTCAGGGCACAGGGAGAGTTTGGCGAATTTTGCTTGATGGCGGGAGCATCAGGAAAAGGCCAGTGATTCACGGGACCCATCACGAAGGCCTGGAGGAGAGCCAATGACCAGCGGTGGCGGGGCCAGCAGCTGATCGTAGTGGATACAGTTGGAGCATGGGGGAGTAGGAGCAGTGGGTGGCAGGTGGTTTTTTCTGTGTGGGGAGCTAGACATAAAGAGGGAGTGGCTGAGGGGAGTGGGCAGGGATTTAAAAGGTTCTTTGTTTTTAAATATGTGTGTGAAGAGCCAGTTTAAAGGTTTTGAGGGGGAAAGGCTTATAGAGAGGGAAAGTTGGTTCTGAAGGAGATGGAGAAGGGGGAATTCAGAATGAACTTAAAAGCAAGGTTGGGGGTAGACAGGGGGAGATGTAGCTGAGCAGACCTGTGGTAAAGCCGCCATAGCCAGTCAGCAATTGTGGCATCTAGCACGTAGGTGAATGGTGAACTGCGGTTCTTTCAGCTTTTCCGCGTGTTCAAAAAATGTATGATAAAATGTTGGGAGGAAAACAAGAACATAGATTGAGATTAGCTTTCAACAGGATAGGGGACACTTATTCCTTGTGGCAGCAGATGGTGAAGTTCAAGGTTAGAGTCTCAACATCCTTTGTGAAGTCAGAGCCACTCACTGGCCTGCTGACACAGCGGGCCAGAGAGGGAGCAGTGAGAACGGAGGGAGGAGTAACCACAGGGGGCATGGGGGAGGGGCTGAGCAGACCCGGGTTAAAGGGAGCCGTGGTGATGCTCGGGTTCTGGGGAGGAGGGGCCACAGGAACCGGGCAGTGGGCCTTTTCTGTCCACAGTTGTCAGGAGATGGCAGGTGAGCAGGGCACAAGGGAACACAACTCAGCCACCAGAAAAGATGAAAGACTGCCATCTGTGACAACGTGGATGGATCTCGAGAGTACCATGCTAATACGCAAATTAAGTCAGACAGAAAAAGACAAGAACCGTATGATTTCACTCATTGGGATATAAAACAGAAGGCAACAAATGAGCAAACCAAACAAACACACACTCATTGACACAGACAACAGTAAGGTGGTTACCCAAGGGGAAGCAGTGTGGGAGGAGCTTGAACAGGGGGAAGGGGGTCAAGTATATGGTAATGGAAGGAAACTGAACTTGGGTGATGGGGGCAATATACAGGTGACGTATTATAAAATTGTACACTCGAAACATAATCTCATTAACCAGTGTCACCCCAATAAATTTAACAAAAAAAAAAGAAAGAAAGAAAGAAAGAAAGAAAGAAAGAAAGAAAGAAAGAAAGAAAAGAAGAAAGCAATGAGTAGATGGGGTGATTGGTTTCTTCCATTGTTTCCCAACAATCCGTTCTGGAAACAAGTCCCAAACCCCCTTTGGTTCTATATTGAGGGGATTCTGTTTATATTTTTATTTGAATGAAATGAGTTAAAAATAATATTACAAAACTGAGTTATTGTTAACACTTAACTAAGATAATTTTATTGTCTTTGTCAGGTAAAAGAAGAACGTCCAGAAAATATACCAGATCTGAAATTATTAGTGGAGATGAAGTTCTTGGCTTTACAGAATAAGAATTCTGATGCAGACTTTCAAAATAATGAAAAATTTGTACAATTCAAACAACAGCTGAAAGAACTGAAGAAGCAATGTAAGTCAGCATGCTTTGCTTTGCTCTGGCTTTTTGAAATTAGGACCTGACTTGATGAGTAGTCCCAGAAACCTGATTTTATAAAGTTTGCTTATTTGCTTGGCTTGAGCCTCTTTCTAAATGGCTTTTTATTGTTGCTGCAGTTCTGTGTTTTGTCTCACTTTTGGTTCAGATCCGCCTGTCCATTTCTGAAAGCCAACAGCTTCCACAAAGTGCTAAGAAAATTTACACTGTGTTTTCCCCAGCTGAGGAGGGGAATTGGGGGAAGAAAAACCCTGAAAACTATTTTATTAAAATAGCAAGGGTGTTTTTGAAATTTTAAACTGCTGTGCCAAGCTTTAAAATAACTCTTCTTTGATTCTAGTGTGGTTGCTTTGGAATAGTAGAAACAGTGTTTACTTAGACTGTTTTTTTCTTCTCAAATATGGACTGAAATTCTCTTGATCCCTTCTATCTTTGTGGTAGTATAAATTCCATGTGATTGTGAAATTTGTTGCCTTCCTAGTCAACTTTAGTATACTCAAGTTTTTTTCATTAACATAATTTTGATTTAAAAATGAAAATGGGAAAAATGATTTATTATATTAAAAAATACTCTAGACATTATTTGTCAGAAATAGTACATCTTTTCTACATACTGAAGTATACATATCCTTATTTTCTTTTTTCTATGTAATTCCCACAACAGTTTTGTGCAATTTGATTGTTTTTACCTTAGCATCAGTGGTAATATTTACTTTTCTGTTTAAGGATCTTTTATTGCTTAAAAGAATTAAATAGTGAAACAAGTAACTATTTTTTAAAACTTAAGTATCACATCAGCGTCATTTGCATACACAGAGAACAAGAGGAATGTTGTAAATCTGACATACAGATTTATTTATAACTTTGTTCTAAGTATAGGAATTCATATTTTGAATGAAATAGGCTTTCTTTTAAATATGAGCATTTTCTTTAAATTGGTGCTGAGATCTCAAAAAATAACTGAGGAAGCTGCCTTTTGTCTATTTTACAAATTAAGTTTCACAATTTGGAATGTTTTGCAATCATGGTGAGACTTTTGCTATTACTGTAGATTTAAACAGTAAGCATTTCCCCCACATTTTAGGTCTGTTCTCTGTTTTTCACTGAACATCACAGCTACCAAAATCTTTCTGATGTAATTTGCACTGTTGCCCCAAATGGGCAGTAATCACCCACAGAGTCAATAACTTGCCAGGGGCTTTCTGGTCTTAAGGATGCTAGTGAATCTGTTTTGGTGGTGTTCAAAATACCTACAAACGTGTCTCACGTTACTAGTTGGAGCCAGAATCACGAATTATGGCAGATTTAGTATCTGATCATAATTCATGGTATTTTTTAGATATTTTATAATGCAGATTGGAGGATAAATATCCAAAAATGGAAATTTACTTTTTTGTTTTTACTAAGTTACTATTCCATAAGAGGAAACTATAAAAGTTTTTAGAGTCATGCACCCTTGGGGAAACACATTCCAGTTAATAATATATAATCAACAGAATCATAAATGTTGAAAAGCATAGCTGTTGCATAATTCTCTCTAAAATTGGAGATTTGGGGTAGAAGTCCCCAGGCAAGCAGTACACATCCTCTGGATAGATAGTTAAACCTTATGATGAAGTAAATTTATATTGAAAGAAATACTTCCTTATGTAAGATTCCCCTATATAGTAACACTGGAAATAAGACAACTTTTCCTTTTATTTCTTCTAAAACATTCTTTTAAAAAGTTTTTCGATCACAATAACAGAACAAGCAAGATATTAATCATCTCTTAAAGATGTGTACCCCTCAGTTGCAAAGTATAATTGACGGTGCCTTCCTGCTGGCGCTGCCGTCGATGAAACCCGCACCAGGTCTCGTGGGCATTAGTTCTTCAGAGTCGATGCCGCTGTGGGGAGGCCAACTGGCGTCTGGTCCCCACGGTTTCTGGGGAACTAAGTCGGGGGGACTCCATTTCATAAAGGAGCCAGTGCAATCTGTTTGTTTTGAGCTGTGTTCCCATGGAGGCAAGGAATTACAATAATTTCTTTTCTAAGATTTGAAAACACAAGCCAAGGAGAGATAGATGCATTAAGCTGCCCATTCTGGCAAAGTAAAGGCTGAGGCGTTCTTGTGGTCTGCCCATTTCTGAAGGTCCTTTCACGAAGACTACCGCCGCGTCTTCACCAGCTTGATTACGCAAGAACGTAAATTGCATGGGATTAAATTTTACCGAGTCAGGATCTAATCGGAGAAATGCCGGGGAGCTCTTAGGTGGGCAGGGTGAAGTTGCAGACGGAAATCAGGAAATCAGGTGGTCGGACGGGTGGGCCTGGGGAAGTGCCCCTCGGGCCGCCACGGGCCCCCACACCGGCAGGGGTGAGTCAGCCAGCTGCAGTCAGCAGTTAGTTCTCACACCGGCTGGGCTCAAGATCCCTCTACAGTCTTAGCATTTCTGAGGACTCCCAGGGAGCTGTGGTCGACATGGGTTATATAGCTATTGGCATTTATCTTATCAGAAATCAAAACTGAGGAATTAAAAAATAGGAGTCCATTTAAAAAAAAAATCAATGATAAACCCATTACATGTTAACATAAACGGCATTATGAATATCTGAAATATAATGATATATTTTCTAAACATAAGGAATTAGTGAGAAGAGTGACATTGTTTTAGATTTTTGCAAATCTCCTCAATTTCTGGCTTAACAGAAGGCAGCTGGATCCTTGTATTCGCTTCTTTATTCAGTCTCTTGTCACACATGATGCGGAGAGTCTGGCCACACCTGCAGTTAGTGAGACCTGCTGAAAGGACCTTGCAGACCACCAGAAATTCTCACTTTGAAAACCTCAGAGCCGGGCCAGGGGTCAGTAAACTGTGGCCTGTGGGCCAGATCCAGCCTGTGGACTCAGAATGGTCTTCATAATTTTCAATTTTGGGGGAAAATCAAGAGAAGCATCATTTTTTTGTGATGTGTGCAGACCGTATAAAGTTAAGATTTTAGTGTCCATCAGTGGAATCGCACTGGGTGTAGATGTGTGTTTACCACCCTACTGTCTGTGGTGCTTTGCCCTGTAACGGCCGAGTCGAGTGCTGCGTCAGAGACCACCTGACCGACCCACAGGGCTTATGGTGCTTGTTTCCTGGCCCCCTCCATAAAAAGTTTACTCACCCCCCGGTCTAAACTGTAATCAGAAACAAGAGCAGTTGTCGTTTTTTTTTTAAACCTGAGGTTTTCCCATAAATGCCATACATTTGTCTCAGGTACGTTCAGAACACTTGGAGTGCCTACTAGATAGGAATCGTTGCAGTTGATGTTCTGAGAGAGATGACAGGCAGCGTCCTGGTACTTGCAGAAAACAATAACATATGCAAACACGAATTAATGTGAGAACTGTCAATCAGAAATATCAAGTCAAAAGCAAAGAAAGTGTATCAGAAATAAATGCAATACAGTGTGGTGGAGAGAGTCAGGGCAGGAAAGCAGATTTCATCTGGGCGGCCCCCTGCCGGTCACTTGGTAGGGGCTGCCTGGAGCTGCACGTCTTGGTAGGGGCTGCCTGGAGCTGTACGTCTGAGAAGGTGCTGGGGCTGGGTTCAGGCCCAGCAGGAGCAGGCACGCGTGGGAAGGAGGCAGTGCAGGTAGCGAGTGGTTACCAGGCCTAGAATGCAAACGATACAGATACACTGTGCTCCTTTGTAGGTGTGATTACTCTAAAGGTGACATCCTCCAGTAGCACACAGTATTTTTTAGTAGTTACTTATGTCTCTTGGATATTACCAGGCATTGGACCCAGCCTCTTTGAACAGATCATTTGATTCCTGGGCACCAAGTGTCCTGCATATTTCAGCCATGATGTCTTCCCAGTTTACTTCTTAGGATTGTTACCAAGGCAGGCGTAAGTTCTTAACTCATCTCTACATTCCTTTGTTCCTCACATAACCAGAGCTCAGCTTGTATTTACAGAACAGAATTATTAGCTAGATAAAGAAGGTCAGAACCTACTTTAAGGCAGTCTGATGCTGAAACTCCTTTTCCCTTCAATGGCGTGTCATCCGTGAAGAAGAGAGGAAGAAGAGGAAGAAAATTAGCACTTACAGGGTTGGGATCTAAAATCAGCAGCAAAGGCCAACAACTTATGTTGTCTTTGAAAATCCTTTAAATTACTCAAAAAAGTGAACATACATGATTTTGTGTTATAACCCTTTTTACAGTGATACGTTGGTGCAAATGTACAGTGCCTGTGGTAATATGCAGTATAATAACGTAGTAGCATCTTGCTCAGGAATTGAGTATGGCTCCCTTAAATGTGACTGCTTAGAACACGTAACCAAGTTTATGAAAAATTAGGTTTGCTGCCTCTTCCGTAGACAGTTTTATCATCTCTGTGGCTCTCAGTTGGTCCTCATTTTATTCCTGACGTTGATGAAGCCCTCGCCATTTCCTTGCTGGAAGATCATTAATTATTGGGAAATGCTAAAAATCATAAATTTCACAACAGAGATGGACTTTTTCAGGCTGGATCGCATCCCTGGCCTGAGGACTGATGCTCTAACTGAGTGAAATCTCTGTCTCATGCAGATTTTGTATTCTTTGTGTAATTGTTTGCCTCCCTCTTCCTCCTCCCGGAGTCAGCATCTGTCTGACCCTTTTTCTGTGTCTCTTGTCTCCCTCCTGCTTTCTTCAGGTGTTCTACCCCATATAGTTTTTCTTTCCCGCGTGTCTTTATTTATATCAGGGAAGCTAAACGGCGCCGTTCGGAGAAGTGAAGCGATACTGCCAAGGTTACGAGGCCGGTAACCAGGAGACGGGAGGTTCCAGGGGTGGAGAGGGGCATCAGGGGAGTCGTCACTGTCCTCCCTCCTCTGTTCTGCTGAGCTGTTAGTTTCCAGAAATGTCTACATTTTAAAGTAAATGAATAATTGAATTAATTTATTTCAAAAAATAATTGAATTAGTGATGAGAAAAGACTAATGCAAATTAGATGGACTCTCT